GGGCTGGGCTTGCATGAGTCCCTGCCAGGAAGCGCAGAGAAGGCGCCCCATCCACCTGGCGCCACCCGCATGCTTGCACACACCCCTCCTGGGGGCTCCCCTCTCCAGCTTCTTCCCAGCCCTCTCGCTCTGGGGGACGGTGGGGAACTCCTTCCGGGTGAGCAGTCACGGGGCACTGGCTCAAGTGACCGCCTGCCCCAGCGGTGCATGCGTGAGGATGACCAGTGGGAGATACCCCCCTTTGGGCAGTGAACCCCAAAGGGTGGCCATGGCAGGATGCCCGGACCCATTCCAGTCTGGCCCCGTGGGGCTGGGTCAGAACTGACCCAGGCTGGGAGGCGGATGCAGGACGCCACTCCCTGGCTCCACCTGGCCCTCTCGGGGTTTCCCATCCTGCCCGCCTTGGCCTGCTGCCCCAGGAGGCTGCGCTGGGGCCACCCGATCCAGGGCTGCCACCCCGTGCGAGGCCACTCTAGAACGATGCTGGGTGTCACAGTCGCCCCATGTGGCCCCAGCTCCTGTGGACAGCGGTCTGAAGCCACCGGGTGCAGTTCTTGTGGGGCGGCAGTGTCTGGGGAAGCTGTTGCCCATGGGCAGAGGACCCGTGGCTCCAGAGGAGGGGCAGCCCGCCGGTGGGGTGGAGGCTCTGCAGATGTGCAGCTCCAGGTCCAGAGTGGGGGCTGCCTGTTCCCCCCCAGGGGGGTGCCCTCCTGGGCTCTTTGCTGCCGGATGACCAAGTGCCCTCTTCCCACGCGTGGCTGACCCCTGCGGCTGGTGGACAGGTCCCAGGTCCCAGCAGCTCCCCCTCACGCACGGGCTGCCCCTTCCCTGCACGCGCAGAGGCCGAGGCGAGGCACAGCCGGGCCTTCCCTGTGGTGGCCCCGTGTAACTCGACCTCCCCAGCGAGAAGAGGCGGGTGGGTGGCAGGGCGGCTTCTCCTGGCCCCAGAAGGCCGTGCTTGCCTGCCCAGACGCTCTCCGCCGGCCCTGTCCATTTGCAGGAGCTCTCATGGCACGCAACGTTTAAATGATCGCTTTCGTTACATCTGATCGTGATTTTAGATTGTAAACTAATCTGGGAGTTTTTAGAGGGAAGGAGGGCGCTGAATATTTTGTCATGAATCCAGTACATTGCTAAGGCTGACCAGGAGGTCCCTTGGTCGGAGTTTCTCGTTTTCTCAGGCTCCGTCTCTTCACCTCCTCTAAGCTCTGAGACTAATATGGGTGTTGCCTCCGCTTCTGCCCACAGATGATTGCTCTCGCCTCCTGCCTTCGCATCCAGCGTACCTGGTCCACCTCTTCCCCAGCGTGTCCTCACAACGACCCTGCAAGGTAGGTTACACTGAGCATCAGCAATGCCCCCAAGTCGTGCTGGCCGCTTCTGGGCTGAGCTGAGTTGCCCCGACACGTCTGTGTGTTTAATGTGCGCCGCGGGGGGGGCTTTCGGGCACTCTGCTCCTGGTGGGGCTGGGGAGAGCACTGCACCCCAAGCCCTCAGGCCTGCGTGTTCAGGGGGGGCACAGAAAGGGCCTTCCTGGGCACCTCTGTACGCGCTTTCGGAGGTCCCACGTCCCTCGCCCGCCCTCGCTCCGGCCGCGACTTCTCCTCCC